GCTTCGCACGCCTGTGGCCTCGCAGCCGGTGCGGGCGCCCACCGGGCTTCTGCACCAGGATGCCGAAGGGAAGGAGCCAATACGGTTATGTTGAAAGCATGGGATGGAGGACATCACCTCTCCTGTCTAAATAGGCAGACGGGTCACCATCTCTGTCAGCCAGAGCTAGCCTGGGAGCTCGAAGAGTAGGGAGGTTTGCCAGAGAAACACTGATGGTTGTCAGATTGTGAATTTAGCTCCCTGGGAACCTGGTCTGACCTGGCAGAGCCATGTCCTTGTGAAGACAGCGTCAACCACGCTGAGGCCACAGTCGACACTTACAGCTCAGTAATTGCTGTTTGCGGATTGCCAAGGCCCAGCAGCGCTCTCTTGGCTCTTCGCATTCCCACGCCTTCTCTGGACGGCTCGTTATGTCCTGCACCAGCAAGCAGTAATTGTCTGGGGAGAAGCTGTTCCTTGAGATGATAATGACTGTTCTCTGCCCCATCTGTGCTTAGTGCTGACCTGTGATTCCTCCAGGCATTTGCATTTCCACATGGGGCTCTCTCAAGGCACAGCCCTTGGGGGAAACAGAGAAATGAAAATGTCTGTGCTAACCTGGGCAGTGTTGTCCCAGGGTGACCTGTTGGGAACTTCTTAAAACTTGGGACATAGAAAAGAGTCTCCCTTATCCCCAGAGCAGTGTAAATCGACTGTGAGGCTTCTAAGTCCCAGTACTGCTGTTCCCACAGCCCTGTGTCCACCCCCTGTCCAAAAAAACCCCCTCTCATAGGGGTACCAGTGGTTTGGTATTTTTAGATCTGCAGAAGAAAGTGCAGTGGAAGGTATCTACTTGTGGGGCATGGATTAGACTAATGGTTAAGCTTTCTCCTGGCTAAGTGCTAGCACACAGTCCTGCTGATCAAAGAGCTTTCTGCAAAATTCTTGGGGTGACTTTCTCCCCCTGAGCAGTTTTCAGCTGAAGTCACTGTCAGCGCACTACCTGCTGTGCTTTCTCTCTGTTCCGAGCAGGATCCAAGCGACCAGGCCCTTCTCTCTGTCTGCTGCTGCCAGAGCCATTTTAGGAATGGGCAGATGGGGAGATGATGGCGGGAAGCAGAAGCTCACCCTGCGGGATGTGGCAGAGCTAATTCGGAAGAAGGAGTGTCGCCGAGTGGTGGTGATGGCTGGTGCTGGGATTAGCACCCCCAGTGGCATCCCGGATTTTAGGTAAGGCCTCCATCATTTCATTTGTCCTTTTTCAGTGCTGGCAGGGCCCAGATCTTCAGCTTAGGTAACGCTGGGGCCTGCTACTCCTCTCTCCCCTCCATTTTGTTTATCTGTGCCAGGCTAGACTAGGCACGGGAGTTTCCGTGCCTGCTGATCCTCCTTCTCCAGCCAAAGGCAGGCTGGCAGCACCAGTTGGACTTTGGGCCATTCCCTGGCCCAGGCCTTCAGGATGGTTAAGTCATGCCTGTTGCTTGATTCTGTGGCTGCGCTCACTGTGGCACCGTGGCCACTAGAGCAGAGCCAACGTGGCCGTGGTGCGGGTGCGAGACGCTCTGTCTAGAAGAGAGCACGGCCCTTCCTCTGACCGCGGGCATGCCTCTGCAGCCAGGAGAAGGTGGGGTGGCAGCAGAGCCGGGATGCGAGGCAGGTTCTCCTGTGCAGAGGCAGTTTCAGCTGCTCTCTTGACACACAACGGACAGCACAAAGCAGCCAGAGAGAACGCAAGGACCTGGCTGTCTGCTCTGGTCATGTCTTGGTCTGGCTCCGTGGTGGGCGGCATCTCTTCCCGTGTTCTGACTACCAGCCCCGCTCTCCTCTCGCTGCAGGTCCCCGGGGAGCGGCCTCTACAGTAACCTGGAGCAGTACAACATCCCTTACCCAGAAGCCATCTTCGAACTGATGTATTTCTCTATCAACCCTAAGCCCTTTTTCACTTTGGCCAAGGAGCTCTACCCAGGCAACTACAGACCCAACTATGCCCATTATTTCCTGAGACTCCTGCACGACAAAGGGCTCCTCCTGCGCCTCTATACCCAGAATATTGACGGGCTGGAGAGAGGTGAGTTCTCTTTTCCCCATCTCCCCGCAGCAGAGTGCCAGGAAGAGATGAGGGTGAGAAGCAGAATAGGAGGCAGGACCGGGGAAATGCCCAGTGAATGTGGAGTTTCTGGTTCAGTCACCTCACACTGAGCCGGTCCTCTCCCACGTGCTGTGTTCCAGTTGCTGGGATCCCTCCCGATAGACTGGTGGAAGCCCACGGCACCTTTGCCACTGCCACCTGTACGGTCTGTCGAAGGAAGTTCCCAGGAGAGGACTTCAGGGTGAGTGGTCGCAGCTGGGCATCGACACGTAAATTAATGCAAGGAGAACCTGTCGCAGGCCTGTTATTTTGCCCTCGGGGCCAAGAGGTTTTATTGGAGGGGAGCAGACTTGGGGCTGGATGTTGCTGTGAGGATGCGTTGTGGTTCTGACCCTGCTGTGCAGGTACGCGCTGCCCCGTAACGAGTGGTGTCGGGTGCTCTTGCTTCAGGGCGACGTCATGGCAGACAAGGTCCCTCACTGTCCCGTCTGCACTGGAGTCATCAAGCCTGACATTGTGTTCTTCGGCGAGGAGCTCCCGCAGCGCTTCTTCCTGCACGTGACAGACTTCCCCATGGCAGACCTGCTTTTTGTCATCGGAACGTCCCTGGAGGTCTGGGACTAAGGGAAACCCCCGCTCACAAGGAGAAAAAGGCACACAGAAAACAGGGCCCGAGGGGACTCTGGAGGAGAAAGAGGGTTTAGAGGAGAAGGCGAGAAACTGGGTTATTGAGGTAAAATTTGAGGTGGCAGCATAGGAAACAGGGTGCATGCACTCTGAGACACCCTCTGAAAACCTTGTGCGCTCCTGGTAAAGGTGGGCACCTGGAGAGCAAGAGATGAGTTTTGCGGCTGCCTGAGGAAAGGCCACCGGATAACGGGTGACATCCACAACCCGGTCAGAGCTGGGGTAGCTTAGCCCACAGTGGGAGAACTCTTAAACACAGCAATTACAAGCTTAGCGTGCAGTGAGTTCATGCCTGCCGTGCCCCTCAGCGGGGTGACGGTCTCCCTCCGCTCCCTAGGGTGTCCTTCCTTTAGGTGGAGCCCTTTGCCAGCCTGGCAGGAGCTGTTCGCAGCTCCGTTCCCCGAGTCCTGATCAACCGAGATCTCGTAGGACCCTTCGCCTGGCAGCAACGCTACAATGACGTAGCCCAGCTGGGGGACGCGGTCAGTGGAGTCGAGAAGCTGGTGGAGCTGCTGGACTGGAATGAAGAGATGCAAACGCTAATTCAGAAGGAAAAAGAAAAGGTGGGAAGGGGCTCAGAGCCCTATCTCCCCCCCCTCAGCCTCTTTGTTCCTTCCGGGGGGAGCAGGTTTGTGCTGGCTGGGGTTAGACTTGCACCGCAGACATTGCCATGCCTGCAGTCTGCATTCAGGGAAAAGCACCACAGAAAAGTGCAAAAATGTGAAAAAAAAGAAAAAAAAAATTCACAGTGAAGGTGCCGCAGAGCAGAGCGCTGTATTGCTGAATGTTTCAGTGGTACAGAAGGGGAGGATGCGGATCTGCCAGCCTCAGATGAAATAGGAAGAGCATGGGAAAGGGCAGGCTTTGGGGTGAATGCGAGTGCTTTAGTGCTTCTTCAAGCAGTGACCCACTCAATTACTGAAAAGCTTTCTGTTGATTTCATCTTTTTTTTTTTTGATTTGTTCCCAAACACACTGAAAAAGCCCTATAGATAAAGGTACAGTTTCCTGAAGCTGGAAGTGACCAACCAGAAAATCCCCTCTGCCATGTGTGTCAAATTAATCCACTATGATCTTGTAAGTCAGCAGAGGACTGGCCTTTGCACTTAAAACACCACAGAGCATGGGCATTCCCGTCTTCAGGCAGTGCTTCCCTCAGACACCTGTGAGGAGACTGGAAAACTCCACTGAGCTGCAGGCACGCGTGGGGCACGCTCTCAGGTAGCCGATACTGCTGCTCAGGCATTGTTTTTTATGCTTTTTCCCTGGCTGAGAGCCTGAGCCTGTGATGCTGTTAATGGCACGTTAATGTGAATAACTGCTGAACTAAGCCAGGGAGCCGAGCCAAGCATCACCTTAGTGGAGCTTTCCACTTTCTGTACCTTCACTTAATTGCTTTGGTTTCATTTCTAGTGGTTTTTCTGGTCCTTGTGAGAAATAAGTAATAGTAGTAAGTTAAGGGAGGCTCTAATTGCACCCTGTCTGAAACTGAACAAGGTGCTGCAGCGAGCAGACATGCGACGAACAGCAAGCAGCAGGCAGGAGCGAGGGTACCTGCTCCACCTGACAGCCTTGCATTGCTAACTGAAGACTTAACTCTTTTCCCCGGCTGATCATTTATTTCCCTGCACCATTCTTCTTATATCTGTAATCTTCTGAGAGCTTCAGAAGTGCAAAATTGTAAGAGAGCAAGTTCTTCATTACTTTGAATTCAGTGCTAATCTTAATTATTACATTACTTTAGACCTGCTGGGAAGATTTTTCCATATTTAGCATCAAACACTTTTTAAACTATTTTTTTTCCAAGCAGAAGTTGTAACTTGTGGGCTGGACCCACTCTTCCGCTTGTAAATGGGCACAGCTCTGTTGTCTGCAGTAGGGCTCTGCCAATTCACCATAGTAAGAAGTTCGTTGTATTTTTAACAGATACACTGTCTGTACGTGACTTCTTCTGACCCAAGAGAAAAATCTGGCTTCACTGATTCCGATTTTAACATTCAGGTTGCTCTTACTTTCATCAGATTAGGGGTAGGAATGAATAGGAATTATTACTCCTTTGGTCAGGTGTTTGGTTTTTCACTACAAGCCATTTTGCAGTTGTATGAGATCAACCAGCCCTTAGTTTAACACTCGTGCTGCTGTAAATCACTGATGGATAAAGCTGATGCAAATGTGATAAAGCATGAAAACCAAAGAACTCCTTGCTCTGGGATTTTGGTGCTAGGAAGCATTGCTGGCTGAGCTAACAGGGGCTGGAAGGTTTGAAACGCCCTAGTAAACACTGTGTGGTCTTTCTATTTTTAGCTGGATGCAAAAGACAAATAGGACAGCTGGCTCCCTGCTGCTGGAGGGCGACGTTCACCTTGAAAAGGAGATGTTGTGCCCAGCACAGGCAGAGAAAGAGATCATGGTAAAGAGGCCGTCCGGCTCTGCAGCAGCAAATCCGCGCGGGGCCGGCGCGCTGGGGAGGAGGGGATGCTCCGGGTGCACCCCCGCCAGCCTGGAAGCAGAGCGGAGGCTTCACCCGCGGAGGGCGGGAGGCCGAAGGGAGCGAAGCCCAAATGCCAAGCTGCAAACTGTTTCTCCTCGTGACGGTTCTCCTACCCGAGACTTCAGAACAGCGGATGCAGGCACTGAGCACTGTTCCCTCCTTGTCTTACCTCATTTCGGCACCCACTAGGAGAGACTTTCCTCTTCCACGGCTCCAGCTGTCACCCCCTCAGCACACCATTTGACCATGTCCAGCCACGTGGCCAGTAAGCGGCCAGGAGCTCGTGGGCTCATGCCGGCTCGTCAGACGAGCCGTGCACGTGCAGCTTGCTGTTTGGGGCTCCCTCTTTCTGAGCCATCCGAGCCCAGAGGGCCTGGGTTTCAAGGATCGGGAGTGGAAAACGCCATGAAGGTCAGGCCTGAAGGCAGGACAGAATCACTTCGGTCTGGAGTGAGTTTTCCAGCTCCCCCCACCAGACTGAGCATCCACCAACTCCTTCCACAGCTCCTCCTCAGTTCTCTCAGTCACGATCCTTCAGCTGCTGCAGACTCGGAGTGTTTATTCTTCAGATGAAATCTCTGCTAATCAGGGGATGAATGCTGCCAGGGGAAGGAGGGGGGCTGCCCCCCATTCCGGTTCAGGCATGCCCGCT